TTTGTTCTGGGGTGCATTTAAGTTATTTAGAAACAGTCTGATGTTTCGTTGTTGCATTTATGATTTGTTAAGTGAGTGTGGAGCAATGCTCAGCCTGGTGCTTAATTATTCCCGCTTACAGAGGCAAGACATTTTTGTGTAGTCTACCCAATACACCATTAACTATTAAGTTTTTCCAGTGTGACTGTTTGTAAATGAATACTGTTCACAACACCTTGTAAGCACTAAGCATCACTTTGTTGTTGTTGTTTTGAGACAGGGTCTCCATCAAATGATCCTCTCGTTGGTGCGTGGCACGACACAACTAACTTTCTAAGTTTGTTTTCTTTTTTTTTTGAGATGTAGTCTAGCATTGTCACCTGGGCTGGGGCTGGAGTGCAATGGCATGGTCTCAGCTCACCACAGCCTCTGCCTCCTGGGTTCAAGCGATTCTCCTGCCTCAGCCTCCTGAGTAGCTGGGATTACAGGTGCCTGCCACCATGCTCAGCTAATTTTTTGTATTTTTATTAGAGATGGGGTTTCACTATGTTGGCCAGGCTGGTCTTGAACTTCTTACCTGGTGATCTGCCTGTCTCAGCCTCCCAAAGTGCTGAGATTACAGGTATGACCCACCGCAACCAGCCTCTAATTTTTTTTTTTTTTTAGTAACAAGGTGTTACTATATTGCCTAGGCCAGTCTCGAACTCTCAGGGTCAAGGGATTCTCCCATCTTGGCCTCCTGACTAGCTGGGACTACAGGCACGTGCCACCAAGCCCACCTAATTTTTTTTTTTTTTTTTTTTTGGTGACAGAGTCTTGCTCTGTTGCTGAGGTTGGAGTCCAGTGGCGCGATCTTGACTCACTGCAATCTCCTGCTCTTGGGTTCAGGCAATTCTCCTGCTTCAGCCTCCTGAGTAGCTGGGACTGCAGGCCTGTGCCACCACACCCAGCTAATTTTTTGTATTTTTAGTAGAGATGGGGTTTCACCGTGTTAGCCAGGATGGTCTCAATCTCCTGACCTCATGATCCACCTGCTGCAGCCTCCCAAAGTTCTGGGATTACAGGTGTGAGCCACTGTGCCTGGTCTAATTTTTTTTTTTTTTTTTTTTGAGACGGAGTTTCGCTCCTGTTACCCGGGCTGGAGTGCAATGGCGCGATCTTGGCTCACCGCAACCTCCGCCTCCTGGGTTCAGGCAATTCTCCTGCCTCAACCTCCTAAGTAGCTGGGATTACAGGCACGTGCCACCATGCCCAGCTAATTTTTTGTATTTTTAGTAGAGACGGGGTTTCACCATGTTGACCAGGATGGTCTCAATCTCTCGACCTCGTGATCCACCCGCCTCGGCCTCCCAAAGTGCTGGGATTACAGGCTTGAGCCACCACGCCCGGCCCTAATTTTTTTTTTTTTGAGACAGAGTCTTGCACTGTCGTCCAGGCTGGAGTGCAGTGGTGAGATCTTGGGTTGTCATTTTTGTTTTGACTTTCTTTCTTTTTAAATTTTGAGACAGTCTTGCTGTGTCACCCAGGGTCGACTGCAGTGTTGCAATCTCAGCTCACTGCAACCTCCACCTCTCAGGCTTAAGTAATTCTCCTGTGTCAGCCTCTGGAGTAATTAGCATTTCAGGTGTGCATCACCACTCCCAGTTATTTTTGCCCCATCTCACAGAGTCTTACTCTGTTGCCTAGGCTGGAGTGCAGCGGCACGATCTTGGTTCACTGCAACCTCTGTCTCCTGGGTTCAAGCAGTTCTCCCACCTCAGCCTTTTAAGTAGCTGGGATTACAGGAATGTACCATCTTGCTTGGCTAATTTTTGTATTTTTAGTAGAGATGGGGTCTCGCCACGTTGGCCAGGCTGGTCTTCAACGCCTGACTTCAGGTGATCCATCTGCCTCGGCCTCCCAGAGGGCTGGGATTACAGGAGTGGGCCACTGTGCCCAGTCCTAATTTTTTTGGTTTCGTTTTGCTTTTTTGGTAGAGATGGGGTTTTGTCATGTTGTGCAGAGTGGCCTGGATCTCTTGGGCTCAAGCTGTCCACTTGCCTGAGGCTTGCAAAGGGCTAGGATTACAGGCCTGAGCCATTGCACCCCGCCTTAGTTGTTCTCCTGTTACTAAACATTTGGCTTATTTCCAGTTTTTGGCTACTGCAAATAAAGCTGCTATGAACATTCATGTACAGGTCTTTTGGTGTTCTTAAGCTCTCATTTCTCTTGGATAATTACCTAGGAGTAACATTGTTGGTTCATGTGATGGAAGAAACTTGTCACAGAAATTTTACTTCAGTAGATTTTGCCCAACAGATTCCCAAAGTGATTGGACCAATTTTTCACTTCCTCTGTTTTTAATGTATGAGAACTCAGGTTGGTCTGTATTCTTCATGAGACTTGTTATTTTCAGTCTTTTAAATTTTAGCTATTATGCTACCATAAGTTTTCTTTTATAAGCCACAATTTAGGACTTCATTTGGGTAATATGAGGACTAGGGTGATCAACTGTCCTCATTTGCTGGGGACTGAGGGGTTCTCTAAATGAGGAACTTTCAGCTTTGAAATCGAGAGAGACTCCCTCATGAGGTTTTCAGCTGAGTTAGTCAGCTGATGTGAAGGGAAAAGCAGGAAATTCCCACAGTCAAACCAAGCCCAAGTACAGATACCTGGGTTATCCTCATCCAGAGTTGTGTTCTCTAGTTACCAAAGACAGGGGCTTAGCCATCTACCGCCTTTCCCTTGTGGTGTCCATGCAAACTGATTTCTTCAGAGAAGCCTCTGCTGGTTCATCAAACTGCAGCAATTTTCTCCGTTATGCTTCCAGAGTACGCCATGTAATTTTATAGTACTCACTACATCTGAAGGTATATATCCTTGTCTGAAATCCAGGGTGGACTGTAATTCAGGGTAGGACTTTTATGTCTTCCTCATAGATAGCCCCAGAACACGTTGGTAGGTACATCAATAAATTTCCTTTTTTTTTTTTCCCTGGAGGTAAGGTGGAAGGGAGGACACAGGTCCTTGTTGAAACATGTGGCAAGGCAGATCGTGAGGAAATGAAAGAAGCCATGAAAGTTTAGTTTTTACCCTAATGGTGGTTGGTTGGAAGTTATTAAAGCCTTTTTATCAATACAGGAGAAACATAAATTGTGTTTTAGGAAGCTGCTTGCTGGTATGTTGATAATGAATTAGTGGATGGTCCTCTGTTGGTACTTGTTAATTTCGTTCTGATTATTTTTAAAATTGATCGCAAATGAAAAAATAGTATAGTGGCATATTTAAATCATGTAAAATTCCAGATGGACTTTGAATTTATTATAGTATTGGGGGCAGCTTTTGCCAGATGCAGTGTTCTTTGCATAAATGTAAAGCAGAAATAGCTTAAATTTCTGATGGGATCCTGATTTGCTATGGAATAACTTATGAGTCATTGTACCTCACAATGTGAACATAAAATTTCTGTGATGAATTTCTTAAAGTCAATAAAGTAAAAAATTCTTACTTTAGCCAGTTTTTGGTTTTCATTTAATGTATACTTTCAGGTATGATTTATTTTGCATTCAGTTTAGCAGTTCCTGAAATCCTTTCCAGGGGGTCTCTGAGGTCAACACAGTTGTTTTTTTTTTTCCTTTTTTTTTTTGAGATGGAGTTTCACTCTTGTTGCCCAGGTTGGAGTAAAGTGGCACGATCTCAGCTCATCACAACCTCCGCCTCCCGAGTTCAAGTGATTCTTCTGCCTCAGCCTCCTGCGTACCTGGGATTACAGGCACATACTGCCACGCCTGGCTAATTCTGTATTTTTAGTAGAGATGGGGTTTCTCCATGTTGGTCAGGCTGGTCTCGAACTCCCCACCTCAGGTGAGCCACCCGCCTCGGCCTCTCAAAGTGCTGGGATTACAGGCATGAGCCACTGTGCCTAGCCTCATAATTTTCATAATGATAATAATAAGCTGTCATTTAACTGTTTTGCTGATTCTGTAATGAGTAAATTGCAGAAAAATCTGGAATTTTTGAGAAATTTCCAGAATTTTCCATGAGTATAATGCAGAATTTTCCACTTTTGATGACATTTTTGCCCTTCTTGCTAATGTAATATATACTTGTGTTTTTTGTGTGTGATAAAGATTTCTGCTTGGCCAGGTGTGGTGGCTCATGCCTGTAATCCCAGCACTTTGGAAGGCTAAATCAGGCGGATCACCTGAGGTCGGGTGTTTGAGATCAGCCTGACCAACACGGTGAAACTTCGTCTCTACTAAAAACACAAAATTAGCTGGGCGTGGTGTACATGCCTGTAATCCCAGCTGCTCTGGAGGCTGAGGCAGAAGAATCACTGGAAGCTGGGAGGCAGAGTTTGTGGTGAGCTGATACCGTGCCATAGCACTCTAGCCTGGGCAATAAGAGCAAAACTCTGTCTCAAAAAAAAATCTACTTTTAAAATTCTAAGACAGTAACTGTTGGTAGATATTAATCACATAAACGAAAGCTTTTTGAGATTCTCAATAGGATTTAAGGGTATAAAGGAGTGTCCTTAGACTAAAAAGTTTGAACTACTGACGTAAGTGTTCTGCCAGAAAAGGTTTTAAAATTAGGGTTTTATAATAATGATTCTTATTGTGACTGTTATAACTGTACCCCAGAACTTCTCATTCTGGATCAGTTGAAGTGTGTCTGGATATCTCTTTTTGTTTGTTTACAAAAAAAAAAAATGAGAATAATTTTTTTTTTCTTTTTGTAGAAATAGGATCTTGCTATGTTGCCTAGGCTGGTCTCAAACTCCTAGACTCAGGCAAAGTGCTGGGATTATAGGCATGAGCCACTGTGCCTAACTTAAATTTGTTTTAATTTTAATATGATTTACTTAATTTGAAAACTTTTTTTTTTAGGATATAAGAATTATTTTCCAATGTCAAAGGAAATAATACTAAAACTAATGTAAAATGGTAAAGCCACTTTTATCTAGCACTGTGTTAGGCACTGTGCTGAGCAAATTTATGTGTATCATCTTATTACTCAGAATAACCTTATGAGGGGCTCTTTTCCTTCGGCACACCACTGAAGATCCTGGTGTCACTATGGGCCGCCACCCCGCCCGTTGTTACCGATACTGTAAGAACAAGCCATACCAAAAGTCTCACTTCTGCTGAGGTGTCCCTGATGCCAAGATTCACATCTTTGAACTGGGGTGGAAGAAGGCAAAAGTGGATGAGTTTTCACTCTCTCTGGCCACATGGTATCAGATGAATATGAGCAGTTCTCCTCTGAAGCCCAGGAGGCTGCCCGAATTTGTGCCAATAAGTACATGGTGAAAAGTTGTGGCAAAGATGGCTTTCATATCCAAGTGCGGCTCCACCCCTTCCATGTCATCTGCATCGACAAGATGATGTCCTGTGCTGGGGCTGACAGGCTCCAAACAGGCATGCGAGGTGCCTTTGGAAAGCCCCAGGGCACTGTGGCCAGGGTTCACATTGGCCAAGTGATCATGTCCATCCGCACCAAGCTGCAGAACAAGGAGAACGTGATTGAGGCCCTGCGCAGGGCCAAGTTCAAGTTCCCTGGCCGCCGGAAGATCTACATCTCAAAGAAGTGGGGCTTCACCAAGTTCAGTGCTGATGACTTTGAAGGCATGGTGACTGAGAAGCGGCTCATTCTAGATGACTGTGGGGTTAAGTACATCCCCAGTCGTGGCCTTCTGGACAAGTGGCGGGCCCTGTACTCATGAGGGCTTCCACTGTGCTGCCCCCTCGTATTATGAACCAATAAATTTACTTCTTGTCCACCTTAAAAAAAAAAAAAAACTTATGAGGGAGGAATTATAAATACATTTTACAAATGAAAAAATTGAAGATTGTAAAGAGTAAATTATTTGCCCAAGTTCATGCAGCTAGGAGGTTACAGAACCAGACCTTGAATTCAAGTGTAACTCTTAAGTTTAGTCTCCTTTGTGCTAAATTTTGAAAGAAGTTTGAAAAGCACTGGAATGAAATATGAAAAATAAAGCCTCTTTTACAGTAACTTATTGATGTTTATGTTGTGCAGTGTTTTATGTTGTAACTTTGTGAGTCTGTCCTTGCAGCTACTGAATTTAATGTTGCCTGATAATTTTTTTTTTTTTTTTTTTTTTTTTTTGAGATGGAGTTTCGCTTTTGTTACCCAGGCTGGAGTGCAATGGTGCGATCTCGGCTCACCACAACCTCCGCCTCCTGGGTTCAGGCAATTCTCCTGCCTCAGCCTCCTGAGTAGCTGGGATTACAGGCATGCGCCACCATGCCCAGCTAATTTTTTGTGTTTTTAGTAGAGACGGGGTTTCACCATGTTGACCAGGATGGTCTTGATCTCTTGACCTCGTGATCCACCCGCCTCTGCCTCCCAAAGTGCTGGGATTACAGGCATGAACCACCACGCCCGGCCTGATAATTCTTACTTGCTCTGCCCTGAATATTTCTTGAGATTCACTTTTACCCCACAAGTAAAAAGGGTAGATACAAAGATAAGTGACCTGTCATTGTTCTCAAGGGATACAGTGAAATCAGATAACTGTAGTGCAAGGCATACTGTGAAGTACCTTAAGCGAGTCTGGGTGCTGCTTTGTAACAAAGAGTAGTCTCCCCCTGGAGTTTGGCGAGAGTCTCATGACTCTCATCAGACTCTGGCTCAGAGGCATTGTTCAATTTTATTTACTTATTTATTTTGAGATAGGGTTTTGCTGTGTTGCCCAAGCTGGAGTGCAGTGGTGCAATCTTGGCTCACAGCAGTCTCTACCTCCTGGGCTGAAGCGATCCTCTTACATCAGTCTCTGAGTAGCTGGTATCACAGGCTTGGCGAATTTCTGTATTTTTTGTAGAGATGTTGCCCAGGGTGATCTTGAACTCCAGGGTGATCTGCTTGCCTCAGCCTCCCAACGTGCTGGTATTACAGGCATGAGCCATCACACCTGGCCTGTCCAACTTTTAAATTCATCTTCTTAATTCTCTTTACTCTTCATCCACTCTAATAATTCTATTTATCTCACACCGCGGCAGACAGATTGCTTGAGCTCAGGAGTTTGAAACCAGTTTGGGCAACAAGTTGAAACCCTGTCTCTACAAATAGAAAAAAAATTAACCAGGCGTGGTAGTGCGCTCGTGTAGTCCCACTACTCTGGAGGCTGAGGTGGGAGGATCACTGAGCTCTGGGAGGTCAAGGCTGCAGTGAGCCATGATTGAACCACACACTGTACTCCAGCCTGGGTGACAGAGTGACACCTGTCTCAGAAAACAGAAAAAATAAAAAACCTTTCTGGTTTTATTTAAATTGCTTTTTCCCCTGAGGACTTTTTCTTTCTTACCAGGCAGTTGCATCAATATCTAGCATATTTTTAGCATGATAATACGCCTTCACACATTTGGGTACTTGTTAAATGCATCTATGGACAATTTTTTTCTTTGAGATGGAGTCTTGCTTTGTTATCAAGGCTGGAGTGCAGTAGTACGATCTCAGCTCACTGCAACCTCCACCTCCTGGGTTAAGCAATTATTCTGTCTCAGCCTCCTGAGTAGCTGGGACTACAGGTGCACTCCACTGCATCCAGCTAATTTTTGTATTTATAGTAGAGTCAAGGTTTTGCCATGTTGGCCAGGTTGGTCTCAAACTCCCTTGGCCTCCCAAAGTGCTGGGATTACAAGTGTGAGCCAGCACGCCCGGACTAGACAATTTTTTTAAACCACCTGCTTTTCTGTATGGCTTATATCAACTAACACTTGATCATAGTGGGTGCTATTTCATTAAAATAGAGACCTGAGGATGTTTGAGAATAATCTGTGGAAAGACTCACCTCCTTCCTATTCCCCCTCTACCACAAACTAATGTGTAGAAATTAAAATTCTGTTCTGTTATGAAAAATACCTAGTTTCAGGTGTGTACCTAGAGTTAGTAATGGCTTCGCATTTCATGGGTTTTGTCTCTTGTTGCTCAGCTACCTTAATTCATCACTTACCTTCTTTTGCCTTTTATATTACATGCTCAATCTCCAATTGAGTGTTGAAAGCTGCTGCTGAGACTAATTTCCTGTATCCCATAGCTGGATGCTCAGGCACTCCAGATTACTCAGCTAGATAGATTTCTTCTCTAACCCTGCTCCCTGGACATTGTGCTAGCCTGATCCCATCTCTTCCCAGCCTGCATGTGTAACTGGACTTGCTGAGATTTTGGGGCCTTGGCTTTTTTCTCATACTGTAATCTAAAACTTTGAAACATGTAGGAGCCTTGCTGGGTCATACATTATATGTCACATACAGCTAAAACAAAATACATTGCCATACTTAATGTCTTTTGTTATATTTGAAATTTTAAAAAGATAGCTATGTCTATATATAAAATATCTTTTTTCCTTTTTTTTTTTTTTTTTTGCCCACCTGCAACTGTCTTGATCGAATTATACTTTTTTTTTTTTTTTAAAAGATAGTGTCTTACTCTGTCCTTCAGGCTAGAGTGCAGTGATGCGGCCTTGGTTCTCTGTAGCCTTGACCTCACAGGCTCAAGTGATCCTCATACCTTAGCCTCCTGAGTAGCTGAAACTACAGGTGCACACTGCCCTGTCCAGCTAATTTTTGAATTTTTTTTTTTTTTTTTTTTTTTTTGAGACGGTGTTTTGCTCTTGTTGTCCAGGCTGGAGTGTAATGGTGCGCTTTTGGCTCACCACAACCTCCACCTCCTGGATTCAAGCGATTCTCCGCCTCAGCCTCCCGAGTAGCTGGGATTATAGGTATATACCACCATGTCTGGCTAATTTTGTATTTTTAGTAGTGACAGGGTTTCTCTATGTTGGTCAGGCAGGTCTCGAACTCCCATCCTCAGGTGATCCACATGCCTCGGCCTCCCAAAGTGCTGGTATAAAAGGGGTGAGCCACTGCACCCGGCCCCCCCCGCTTTTTTTTTTTTTGGTAGAGATGGGTCTTTTTTTTTTTTTGTAGAGATGGGTCTCACTCTGTTGCCCATGCTGGTCTCAAACTCCTGGGCTCAAGTGATTCTTCCCACATTGGCCTCCCAGTGTGATATTTTCTTTCTTTTTTTTTTTTTTTTGTATTTTTTTTGGTAGAGACAGGGTTTCACCATGTTGACCAGGATGGTCTCGATCTCTTGACCTCGTGATCCACCCGCCTCAGCCTCCCAAAGTGCTGGGATTACAGGCTTGAGCCACCGCGCCTGGCTGATATTTTCTAATGCTAATAGTGCCAGTGCAGCAGTAACTTTATTGATCTTCACTGGTGAAATGTTATTAGACCTGTAAGTAAATGGCTCTTTTAGTGCTATATTTCTCTTTGAGTAGTTCATTGAAAAGAACATACAAAGAATTTCAAATTGCTTTATTCTTGCTTTGAGCTAGGTGAGTCTTTTTCGAAGTTACTGTTTAAGGTTCGTTTTCAGTTCAGTTTTAAAAGTTTGGAAGTAGAAAAGATCTGATACTTAGTCCATTCATTACCCTCATGTTATTCATGAAGAACTGCTTCAATGAGGGCATTTTAATTGATAAAATCCCTTCTGTGAGGCCAGGTGCGGTGGCTCACACATGTAATCCCAGCACTTTGGGAGGCCAAAGCAGGCAGATCACTTGAGCTTAGGAGTTTGAGACTAGCCTGGGCAACATGTTGTAACCCTGTTTCTACTAAAAATACAAAAAATTAGCCAGGTTTGGTGATGTGCACCTGTAATCCCAGCTACTCAGGAGGCTAAGGCACGAGAATTGCTTGAACCTGGGTGGTGGAGGTTGCAGTGAGCTCAAGTTATACCACTGTACTCCAGCCTGGGTGATGGAACAAACTCTGTCTCCAAAAAAAAGTGAATTAATTTTTAAATTGATATAATACTTGCATATTTTGGGGGTACCATCTGCCATTTTTAAGTTGGAGTTTTTCTTCCTTTGGCGATAATTTTATGGTTACAGTTGAACTGACAAGATAAATGGTTCATTTTTTTGTTTGTTTTTTTGAGGTGGAATCTTGCTCTTTCTCCCAGACTGGAGTGACATGGCACAATCTTGGCTTATTGCAGCTCCCCCACCAGGTTCAAGCTATCCTCCTGCTCCAGCCTCCTGAGTAGCTGGGATTACAGGCGCCTGCCACCATACCTGGCTAGTTTTTGCATTCTTAGTGGAGACAGGGTTTCGCCATGTTGGCCAGGCTGATTTCAAACTCCTGACCTCAGGTGATCTACCAGCCTTGGCTTCCCAAAGTGCTAGGATTACAGGTGTGAGCCACTGCATCTGGTAAAATTGATTAAAATTGATTAGTTTGAAGAAAATATTGAATCAAATGTTGATTTGATCTGTTTCAATATCCAAACAGATAATGTGCTTTGTACTAATAAATTCTTTGAATTTTATTTGTGTAGAAGAAATTGAGGAAGAATCTGAAACAACAGTTGAGGCTGACTTGACTGATAAGCAGAAACATCAGTTGAAACATAGAGAACTCTTTTTGTCACGCCAGTATGAATCTCTGCCTGCAACACATATCAGGTAAGAACTTTTTAGGAACTCAAGTACTCAGTAGTACTACAGTGATGAAAAACTGAAAGACTTCTTTGAAGTGTTTTCCAAACTCTTCTCAAGATCTTGCTTAAACTACTTTACTAAAGGCTTCATAATCAAATTTCAGGTTGGGAATTTATAGTGTGTACTAGCACATTAAAGCCCCACGAAAGTTCTTCAGTAAAGTAACCATTTTAACTTTGTTTTAATACAGC